GAGAGGAGACTTCTAGCTCAGTTACAATGAGATGTCTCTGTGGCTTGCCACCTGAGCAGGTAGTTAAGATCTTACCACCTGCTTCTGGTAGGCAACCAACAGCCGTGACAATTACCTTTATTGTTTTGAAGCCTCTGTTACCAACAATTGGAAGGGAAGGAGCCCACCCCTGGGCTGGGATTTTAATTTCATAATCTATGGCTTCAGGGAGCAACTCATTTACCCACGTAGTGTCTCTGTTCAAACGAGTTGGAAATTAGGTAAATGTTTATTTTGTAATTGCTCAGAGATTTAAAAACCTTCTGACCTTGCCTGTGTTCCACTATTTAAACATTTTTTCTCTATTGAGAAAAAACATTGGGAATTAACACAAAAAAAACCAACCTTAGTTTATGTGAGAATTGTTAAAGTTGATTTTGTTAATCTGAAGAGAATTTTGTTTGCTTTTTCCTTTTTCCTTTTCATTCATATAGATTGTGTGTCTGTGTGGGAGTATATGGGTGCACGTGGGGGTTCATGCACGTGTGGAGTTGGAGGACAACTTTGGGTGCCATCTGCAGGAGCGCTGTCTAGCCTCCTCTGACACCGCTTGAGGTTGAACCAGATTGGATGGCCAGTGAGCACGGGGAGTCATTCTGCTCTCTGCCAGGGTTGGGAGTGCAGTAGCCTGCCTGCCGTGTTTATAAAGGGTTCAGGGGTCAAACTCAGACGCTCATGACAGCAAGGCAAGAGCTTTACTGAGGGAGCCCTCCCCTTAACCCTCACTGTTTTTACTGTGTACAAATGTGCTAGAGTTATAGCAAGACCAAAGAATGGTTTCCTATGGACTATAAAACACACCACACAATCTGGGTGACTTAACCAGCGGGGACTCACTTCCTATTCTAAAGGTTAAAAACCCAAGGTTGAGGTTCTGGAAAATTCAGTTTCTGGTAAGGTCTCTCTTAGCTTGCAGAAAAATGCTTTGTTGTTGTTGTTGTTTGAGATAAAGTTTCTCTGTGTAACAGTCCTGGCTGTCCTGGAACACACTCTGTAGACCAGGCTGGCCTTGAACTCACAGAGGTCCGCCTGCCTCTGCCTCCTGAGTGCTGCAATTAAAGGCGTGCACCACCATGGCCCAGCAGGAAATGTGTTCTTGCTGTGTCATCCAGTACCCTTCCAGGCAGTGAGGAGTGTTGCATCTGTTCCTTCTTCTAAGGACATACATGTATTGAATTAGGTCCCCAACTGTATGACCTCATTTAACCTCAAATATTACCTTAAAGGACTTGATCTTGATACTTATAGGGATATAGAGATTGAGCATGTGAAGTTGGGTGTGGAATACTATCTAGTCTATAACTCTCTAACTTCTTAGCATAAAACTGTAATTTCAGTATTGTTTAAAATGCCCACCTTTTGTTTTAGGTAGACCCACAACTTGTGGATGGACATCTTTCATATTTTCTTGGAGCTATAGGTATGCCTGGTTTGACTTCCTTGATTGGGGTCCAGGAAAAAGGTCACATATCTGCAGGGTCGAATCAGACAATGGTTGTCAGTGGAGCAGCAGGTGCCTGCGGATCTTTGGCTGGCCAGGTAAAGTTTCCAAAAATTACTTAACTGTTTTAAAATAGAAGGCATAAACAGGCCACAGAGTACATGCATATAATTTACAAAATAAAATCGAGGGCTGGTGACATAGCTCAGTTGGTAGAGTACTCGCCCAACATGCATGAAGCTCCAGGTTTGATCCCTAGTACCACATAAATAGGTGTGGTGACACACAGCTCTAATCTCAGCACTTCCGAAGCAGAGCAGGAAGATCAGAAGTTCAAGGTCATCCTCTGCTACTTCGTGAGTTCAAGCCCAGCCTGGAGTATATAAAAGTTTGTCACAAAAAGTAATTAATTTTAGGGTTAGCTGTTTATAAGTTGCCCATGATCCAGCAAATAACTGCACACCCAAGCACATACAAGCAACACTGATTAAACTTAATGGTTATTTTTTTCAAGATGTGAAAGTAGAAGGGGCCTGATGTGATGAAGGAGGGATTCCAGAGGAATGGGAGAGGAAGGGAATGTGGCTGACTATAACCAAACTACAGGATACACATACATGAAATGGTCAAGGATAAGTTCGATCTTAATTAAGAAAGATTCGTTATTTTTGTTCGATGTGTTTGTGTGAGCACATGCATGTATGTTTGTGTGTCATAGCCCTCGGGACTGGAGGTACAGGTGGTTGTGAGCCTCCTGATATTGGTGTTTCAAACCAAACCCAGGTCTTCGATAAGAGTACTAAGTGCTCTTAACCACTCAGCCATCCCTCCAGACCTCTTATTTTAAATTTTTATTATGTCATTATTTTGCACATTGTTGGCATAAATGGTATTATTACCTGTTTAGATTCTGTTGATAACAATGTGAAAAAACAAAACAAACCAGGTTTTTGTGTCTCTTTCTCTGTTAACTGGAATAGATGTAGCAAATGTTAGAGTAGTTCTGTCATCCATATAGGAGTGAAAACCATAGAGATCTGTCTGTAACTCCTTGACTTAAAAGACAAACAAGCAGGGTTAGAGAGATGGCTCAGTGGTTAAGAGTACTCGCTGTACTTGAAGAGAGCCCAGGTTCAGTTCTCAGCACCACAGAGTGGCTTAGAACTCTATAGCTCCAGTTCAGGGTACCCGGCTCTGCCTTCTGGCTTATTGGGCGCCAGACATGCAAATAATGCACATTCATACATGCAGCCAAACACAAATAAATACATCTTTGCAAAAAATGACAAAGAAGGGTGTTGGGTTGTGGTTCAGAAGTTTGAACCCTTGCTAGGCATGCATGAAGCTCTATGTTCAGCTGCCTGCACCAATCAACATAAAATCAAACTCTTATTTTAAAGAAAGTAATGAGAATTCTTCTTCCACAAGGTTATTTATTTATGTATATTTTGAAATGGAGTCACTTGTCTCCCTGGCTGGCCCAGACTTACTATGTAGCTTAGGCTGGCCTTGAATTCCTATTCCTCCTACCTCCACCTTCCAAGTGCTGAGATAATAATAGTGCAGAAAGCATTTACTGAATTGTAAGTATGTAGTAAATGTTGAAAGAACTGTACAGAGTTCAGTGTTTTATAAGTGATAGTTATATTAGTTAGTTATCTCTTGGCTGGGATAAAATGTCTGGCAAAGGCGACCCGAGGAAGGAGGGTTTATTTGGTACACAGTTCCAGGGTATGGTGCATTATGGCAGGGAAATCATGATAGTAGGAGCTCCAGGCAGCTGGTCACATTGCATCAGCACTCAAGAAGCAGAAAGCAGTGAATGATTGCACTCAGCTTGCTGTCTCCTGTGTATTCAGTGTGGTACCAGGCCCATGGAATGGTACCACCACATTCAGTGGGTCTTCCCTTTTCAGTTAAAATAATCTAGGTAAGTCATCATGGACATGCCCAGAGGTTTGCTTTCATGGTGATGATTCTAGATCTTGTCAAGTTGGCTGTCAGGATTAGACATCATGGTAGCTGTTTGAGTGAGAAATGGCCCCATAGTCTCTGTTATTTGAACACTCACTGCCCAGTTGATGGTGCTGTCTGGGGAGGTGGTGACCCTTGCTGGAGGAAGTCTGTCTGTCACTGCGGGCAAGCTTGAGAGGCCACGGCCTCATCCTACGTCTAGTTTGCTCTTTCTTCTTCCTGCTTGTGGCTGAAGATGTGATCTCTGGTTCCTGCTCCCCCACCACGCCCACTGCTCGCTCCGTGACTCCCTGCCCTTGGGGGACGGAAGCCCAATAATCTCTTTCTCTCCTAAATTGCCTTTGGTTGTGGTGTCTTATCACAGCAGCAGAAAGTAACTGATACAGTACCTTTTGCAGCATGGGAAACAGAATAATGTATTTTAGATATTATCTGTGTTCTCCACAGCCCTGAAAATTATTGAATTTTAAGAGTGATATTTTGGGTCTGATTACTTACTTTGAAAATTACATTAAAGCTGTGAAATTTAAACTACATTTTATTTATTTATTTATTTATTTATTTATTTATTTATTTATTTTTAAGGATCACATTATCTGCTTTCAGTCTCTTTGGTTTTAATTTTTTCTCTCCCCATTGCATTATTTTTTTTGAGACAGGGTCTCTCTCATGTAGGCGGGCCTTGAACTCAGAGATACACTTGCCTCTGCCTCCTGAGTGCTGCGATCAAAGGTGTGTGCTATCATGCTTTAAATGTTCTAGTTAAAAGCACTGTAATCAAACCTAAATTGTGATGAATACTGTTGTAGGGTTAATATTAATGTGAAGAAACATCATGACTCCAGGTCCACCAGCCCAGGGGTAGCACCCACAGTGGGCTGAGCCCTCCCACTTCAGACACTAATTAAAGAAAAGCCCTTACAGGCTTGTCTACAGTCAGATTTTATGGAGGCATTTCCTCAACGGAAGTTCCCTCTTCTCAGATGATGCTTGCTTATATCAAATTGACATGAAAATTAGCCAGGACAAATATTCTCTTCTACTTGCAATATCTTGTGTACTTTGACTTTTTTTATGTTTGTGAGAATATAAAGCCATTTAATTTTCAAAACATTCCTCCTTAGATTGGCCGCCTGCTTGGCTGTTCCAGAGTGGTGGGAATTTGTGGAACATATGAGAAATGCCTCTTTTTGACTTCAGAACTGGGATTTGATGCTGCAGTTAATTATAAAAAAGGAAATGTAGCAGAACAGCTCCGAGAATCATGCCCAGCTGGAGTGGATGTTTACTTTGACAATGTTGGAGGTGACATCAGTGATACAGTGATAAGTCAGGTGGTTTGCTGATTTGTTTCTGTTACAAATATGACACTATATTTTATTTATTGTGATATATCTTTGCTTGATACTGAGGGGAACTATAAAATTGTAGTGTTCATTTTGACAAATAACATGATTATTGTATTTAAGTTATATAAAAGATATTGATACTTATTTTGATTGATTGCACATTGGTGTTCTGAATTTCAGTTCCTGCCTAGCAATATATTTTCACCTTCAATTTACTTTTGTGAAAAATTAAGATTTGCATTTTTGAAATAGTGAGATTCTGACCTGTAACTCACCATCTCCTAATCACTTTGCAGCCATAACCTCTGAGTTGGGTAGGGAGATGGTTTTCATAGGTTGTAGATGGTATGTATTTTTATTGGCAATGTAGTAAAATATCAACAGTTGATAATAAGAATAAATAGGTCTTGACTATATGTAAAATTACTTGCAGTTGGGATTATATTATTGAAATATAAAGAAATATATTACTGGGCTGGAGAGATGGTTCAGTGGATGAGAGTGTGTACAGCTCTTGCAGAGGACCTGACCTGATTCTATGTCAGGCAGCTCAAACCAGCTGTATATCAAGCTCCAGGGAGAACTGACCCTTCTGGCCTCATCAGGCACCCAAACTTGCATGCATGTTTCTGTTGTGGGGTAGCCACTAGAGAAGACTACTTGGACATGGGTTTAAGCCAATAGAAAGTCTTTATTAGCTGGTCAGTGTTCAGATCCCAGTGTAGCCCTGAGCCTTTCTCAGGATGAGCACAAAATCCATGTCCTGGGTATACTTCAGTTAACAAGAACAGTTAGTCATAAGCGGAACTACAGAAGCCAAAAAGCAAAGTTAGTACATTTAGAGACTTTCCCAGAACTGTGGACATTGATGGATTAGGCCTTTGTTTTGTCAAAGTTCTGAGTTTTACATCCTGATGGTACTCACATCATAGTCAGTTGTGGTAAGGTCTCAGGGACTACTAAGGTCTGGGGACCTGTTACAGTATCTATATACAGACCCACAATATACACATAGTTAAAAATAATAAAATTAAGCTTTAAAAAATAAATATACTACAGTAAAGCAGCAAGATCAGTGGCAACTAATGTAATTCTTTTGGTGATTACCCAACTTTTAGTCTGCATTCCTTCAGATTGGACTTGATAAAACTTGTAGGTGCTGGAAAGATGGCTCAGCACTTAGGAGAGTACTTACTGCTCTTGTGGAGGACTGAGTTTAGATCCTAACACACACATCAGCAGCTCAAAACTGTCTGTAACTCCAGTTCTAGGGTATCTGAGGCCCTCTTCTGGCTTCCACAGGCACCTGCATTTATGTAGTGAACATAAAATTCATGTAGGTGCACGCACTTGCGTGTACACACAGGCACACACAAATAAATAAAAATGTAAAAGACTTTTAAACAGGTAAATCTTCAAAATAAATGAAACTAATCGGCAATAAAGGTTTAAGTGTGGTGTTAAATAGGCTTTTATTGTTGTAGTCATAAATCATAGGAAAGGTGTCTAAGGGTGTAATCATCAGTGTTTCTCTATACAGATGAATCAGAACAGCCACATCATCCTATGTGGTCAGATTTCTCAGTACAATAAAGATGTGCCTTATCCTCCCCCTCTGTCCCCTGCTGTAGAAGCAATCCAGAAGGAGAGAAACATCACAAGGTGTGTCCTTCACCTCTGCCCTTACTGCCACTGCCACAGGGGCTGGGAGTTAAATTTCATAGATGTGAAATGTGTTCATTTATAGTTTTTTCCTTATTAAATAAAATGGAAAAGTATATATTCAAGGAGGTTCAATATTTAAATTTTGGTTAACTGGTTCTCAAAAACTGATACTTCTGGCTTTGACTGGATGAGATCATGTGAGGGTAGGGAAAGAATGTTATCCACAAAGGAAAAATCAAAATGCTGTTGCCAAATAGGATTGTAGATGATAAGCAGATATAACAATCAAAGTTTAGAGTACTTACCCCTTAACTACACCTAAAACTATATCTGACCAGACTCAGCATGGTTCTGTGCTAATTTAAAGACTAACAGGTATTACCATTTTGAAAGATTTGATTTGTTTTTTTGTTTCGTTTTTATTTTTATTTTTTCAAGACAGGGTTTCTCTGTGTAGCCCTTGGCTGTCCTGGAACTCACTCTGTAGACCAGGCTGGCCTTGAACTCACAGAGATGTAGCTGAAGTTTTCCTAGTCCTGCCTGGCCCATGGTCAGGACAAATCTCTCCCACTCGTGTCCCCCAAGTAAACACACAGAGACTTATATTACTTATAAACTGTATGGCTGTGGCAGGCTGCTTGCTATCTGTTCTTATATCTTAAATTAACCCATTTCTATAAATCTATACCTTGCCATGTAGCTCATGGCTTGCCAGTATCTTACATCATGCTTCTTCTCGTGGTGGCTGGCAGCGACTTCCTGCCTCAGCCTTTCACCTCCCTGAATTCTTCTCCCCCTTGTCCTGCCTACACTATCCTTCCTGTTTGGCTACTGGCCAATCATTGTTTTATTTATCAATCAATCATAGCAACTAATATTTATAGCATATAGGACATCCTACAGCACTTCCCCTTTTCTGTTTTGTCAAAAGGAAGATTTTAACTTTAACATAGTAAAATGACATATAACAAAACAATTATCAAGCAAGAATTACAGTTACAATATCTAGTCTATAATATCTAGTCTTATTTGTATTTGGCAGAATTAAAGATGATATCCTATCTATCCTATATTTGTGAGTCTAAGGTTTCATATCTAACTTACCTTTTATCATAACTAAGGAAATTATAACTATCTAGTCTTCAACTACATCAAAGACCTCAGAAGGATATAACATTACCTGAGAAATGGGAGAAGGATCTGCCTGCCCTGCTTCCCAAGTGCTGTGGTTAAAGGCATGTGCCCCCCCCCAGGTTCTCCCTCTTGAAATATTCTCTAATCATTCTTTCATTCTCTGCTTACAGAGAGAGATTTACCGTGTTAAATTACAGAGATAAATTTCAGCCAGGACTTCTGCAGCTGAGTCAGTGGTTTAAAGAGGGCAAGCTAAAGGTAAAACCTTTTTTGCTTTTTGAAAGCAGGTCTCATGTGGTTCAGGCTGGTTTCAGGCTGGTTGAACTTGGCAAGTAGCTGAAAATGATCTTGAACCCTTTGCCTCCTACTTCTGCCTCACTAGTGCTAGGATTATAGGCAGGCTCTATATCATGCCCAATTTATGTGGCGCTGGGCTTGAACCCAAAACAAACCAAGTACTCTACCAACAGAGCCACATCTCCAGTCCAAATTTCTATTATTTATAAAAGTATGTTTTTTCTGGCCGGGCGGTGGTGGCGCACGCCTTTAATCCCAGCACTCGGGAGGCAGAGGCAGTCGGATCTCTGTGAGTATGAGGCCAGCCTGGTCTCCAAAGCGAGTTCCAGGAAAGGCGCAAAGCTACACAGAGAAACCCTGTCTCGAAAAATCAAAAACAAACAAACAAACAAAAAAAGTATGTTTTTTTTCTGCCATTAGGCATACTTTTATTTTATTTGATTTTACTATAGCAAACATTTGTTTCATTACAAAAAATTCCTACAAAATATAGGCTAGAGAATTGGCCCGGTGGTTAAGAGCACATTGCTCTTGCAGAGGACCCAAGTTTGTTTTCCAGCTTGTATGTCAGGCTGCTCACCATTGATGGGAACTGCAGCTCCAAGGGCTCTGTGACCCTCTCTGGACCGCCTAAGCAACTGCACTCACGTGCACATACTCCCACAGAGACACACATTGACACATAATTTAAAAAGTTAACCTTTGAATAAAATTTTCTCCCAGATGACCATAGTCTGCTGAGTGAGAAACCCTTTTATTGCTCTTATGCAATACTTTATTAAGCTCAGGAGTAGAGGCTGCTCAG